AACCTCCCCAACCGCCCAAAAGTAGGGTATACCGCCCGATCCTAGGTTAAACTTTTTAAGGTGGATCCAGCTTAACGGGGTCGGAAACCGTGTTATCTAGCTCCAACCGCCCGATTCTTCGTCTATTTTTTTTGCTTGGGTAGCTTGTTATGAAGTATAGCGGCTATCTTTGCTTGCCTTGTTCTGCCAAAATCATGACTCATCCTTTCACATACTGAGTGAAATGTATTGACACATTTTTAAAGTATATGAAATAAAACTTTCACATTCATGATTGTGAAACTAGTGGAAGAAAAGAGAAAAGCATTACTCATTTTGTGTCGTTTCGTAACCAAACGTTAGCCATGTATAGAAAGAAAAGACGTTTACATCTTGCGATTCGCACATATTCCTTCTTCTTATTTTTTAAGCTACCCGGTTAACTGGACACTCCAGCCACTCCAAGAAAATGAACAATATATATAATTAATTGTTACTTTTTTGAAAAAGAAAAAGTTTTTATATGTACTTCGTGTATTTTATGAAATAAAATCTATTCATTCCTACTGTTTCGTAAATTTTCGTGTTAATTAAAATTAAAATAACTCAGGAAAAATCAACCATACATATAACTATTGCGACGATTTCATGTACATTTCTGTAGGGGATTGACGGAAAACGTCGAAAAGGAACATGTCGAAAGCCAAAGATAAGAGTGTTGGTAAAGGTATGGGTGATGGTGAGGGTGCTGACAGGGTAGATGAATATCAATAGCGTAGTAGGAATATTTGTTTCCCTTGCGACATTTTTACTTTTCCATATTTTTCTGTTTCGATATTTTCATTTTCGACGTTTTCCACCAAACCCGACCAGAGGGGCAGGAACCAGTTTTTTTCATACTTGACCGTTCTAAGATGTCCACAATACTCAGAATTCGATGCTGATTCCGAATATATATGTTTTATGGCATAGGTTTTTGGTCCGAAAATAGGCCTTAATACAACACGTCGTTTGGTTGATGCGCGCATTTTTTTGCTTGGTTCTTTTCGCGGAAAGATGTGCTTGCACAATGGCTACTTGAGTAGCTGCCTTTATTTGCGCAGAAAAAGTTCGATAACCAACTGGTGAACGGCGCACTTTATTGGCTGTGAGTAGTTGGTGTTTTTTCAACTTGCAAAGAAAATTATAATGTCGATATTTAAGTGAAGTGACGCTGGATCATCATGTGACGATACCTATGCTATGGTATCTTGAACATTTCATGAAGACAAATTTTCGAGACACTGCTCGGTAGAAGATCAAACAACGTTACTAACGCATGTGTCTGGAATAGCTTCCATAGGTTTTGTTCAGATTATTTTTCACCGATATAGTTTGTTCAAAAAATTTTGCAGAAAAGTTTTCGTTTTACTCCAATTCAATGGAATATCTTTTTTGTCAATACGACACACAAAGAATATATCATTTTATAAAATTCCATCGTTGTCTCGAAAAAGATAATATTATTTTTCCCGGTTAAGGAACATGAGAGATGTTCAAAACCATTTTATGAGACCCTTTATCCAAGTTGAAATGCGTCGTGGTTTGCTAGACTCACCACGGATGTAAAAATACCTGCAGACAATGTGTGTAAGGTTATGTAACTTATTTGTGATCTTCGGATCATTTCGAGTAGTTACAGAGGCAAAGCCATTTTACAAGACCCTTAAGGAAGATCGAAATGTGTCGTGATTTTCTAGACCCATCACGGATGTATAAAATACCTGCATACAATATGTGCAAGGTTATGCAACTTATTTATGATCTATACATCATTAATAGTTACAGAGTTAAAGCCATCTGATGAGACCCTTAAGCAAGGCCGAAACGCGTCGTGGTTTGCTAGACTCACATCCTCATCCACACCCCTGATGATGATTATCTGAGCATTATTCGAAACGCGTGATACGATGTTTTGAATCTGTTCTGTGAAACTCAACTTCACTCTCACATCCTCACCCTCAAGAAGTGACAATAGATAATTCTTATCAGAATTCATTATGTACGCTTTCCCTTTCAATTGATTTAATTCCAAACTTACATCCTCGAGAGAAAATCAGATAGTTTAATTGGCAGGATAGTCGACCGGATTTCGGAAGATGCAGATTCGACTTCTATTCTGATTTTATGACCTCTTCTGATAAGTTTATCGTGGCTATCTGAGACATTTCAGTGTGAATACATTTCTTTTCATGAAGAAGAAATCCCAAGTGAAAAGATTTCGAAATAAGAGACTCTTCAATATTAAACTTCATACTCACAACCTCATCCCTTACTCTCACACTTGATTGCTGAAAAACAAACATTGAGACTAGCAAATTGATTTATTTTTTATTTCAAAGACGGGTCAATTTGTTCTTCAGTGGTTTACGTCATTAATGATCGTTGGGGCCAGACGATTGGCATATAGCAATGAAACGTATTCTCCACGAGCCCTTCGTGCAAGGTCCTCATAATATCCGCGATATAACACTGGAATGGAGAGAATGAACAGGACAATCTCAAAAATATAGATAATGAGAGCAGAGCAAACTTACTTATAGGATTTTCAACACCGACAATATAAAGTATAATATCTTCTTCCTTCATCTTTTCAACGATTTCGATTGGGTCGTGACCACAGGGACATCCTCTAGGATATACATCACCATTTCGCTCTATTCCATGTGGAGGTGCATCAGCAATAAGGATACAAATTTTAGTAGCATCAGAATTCCATGATAAATTGAGAGCATCATTAAGCGCATCGGCCACTGCATCGGGTCCGTCACCGCCACTTACGGCTCTGCATTGATTTAACCATCCTCTCATCTCCTCCACTGACTTTGTAAAATTGTGTACATGTGTTACAAATCTGGTATTCTAAACAAGTAAGTTTAGCATTCGTTAAATTTCCTATTATTTAACATGTACATTCGCACTGACCGAAGGTGGATGGTCTTCGTATTCGATGAATGCGAAACGAGCATTAATTCTTGTTGTTTCTGGCACGAGCTCTCTTGTTGTTGGT